GAACTTGGGTGACTGGTCTAAGAAGCGAGATGTCTCTGTCAATTCTAGAGTTTTGTGTAGGCCCATATTTCTATATAGTGTGGCAGCCAGGCTCTGAAGCCATAGGCCCCACCTGAAGTCATCACGTAGCCCTGCAGACAGGCTGTCACTGCCCTAACAAAAGGTCGGAATGTTGTTGCTCTTTTCTTTGTAATTTGGAGGATGCCTGATAGAGATGTTAATTCAAGCCTACATGACAGCTAGCATACACAGCAGACAGGTAGATGCAGATGTGACAAAATGCCATTCACCTGGTTACCTAGGAGACAGAATATTGGTGTATGTCCCGCTCAGTTTATGTGTTTGGTATAAAAGCTGTTTGGAGAATAAACGAGAGAAATTCTTCAGAATATGAACTCAGGACTTTATGAGGGACCACTGACAATCTCCCTCCCGATGAAACCATGTGAGTTGTGTCTTTATTTCCGTCTCCTCCACGTTGGTCCAGAGAGATAGTTTATGTTGGGATCTGGTTGAGAGAAATAATTTATGGTCGGGGCTAGCACTCGGCCCCAACAGTTTTGGAAGTTGCTTACAATGCACTTCTTGTTTACTTAGGTAATATATTCTTCTGGAGTCTTTGATACAGTTGAAGAATTGATAGTTACAGTTTTCCTTAGATATGATAAAAATAAAGTAGATATAGATATTATAACTATATTTCTTACTTGATACCCGTTTTGTTGTGTGTAATTTTACTATGTTAAAGTTAAAATTTTCCTTTTTATTTAACAGAAAAGGGGAGGTGATGTGGGATTTCCCTCTGTATACTGTGAATACCATTAATGAATAAAGAAAACTGTCTTGGCCTGTGGATAGGGCAGAACTTAGGAGGCAGGAAAAACTAAACTGGGTCCTGGGAGAAAGAAGGGCAGAGTTGTGAGAAGCCCTGTAGCCCTGCCGGAGACAGACGCTAGGAACTTTACCCAGTAAGTCACAGCCTTGTGGTGATATACAAGTTACCAGAAATGGGTTAAATTAAAGATGTAAGAGTTAGCCAATAAGAAGCTAGAGCTAATGGACCAAGCAGTGATTTAAATAATATAATTTCTATGTGATTATTTTGGGACTAAGCAGCCAGGACCAACAAGTGGCCTTCTCCAACATCTAATCCCAGCGTTTGGGAGGCAGAGGCAGGTGGATCTTTGTGAGTTCAATTCCATCCTTGTCTACAGAGCAATTTCTAGGGCAGCGAGGGCTGCTATACAGAGAAACCCTGTCTAGAAACAGCAAAACAAAACAACAGCAACAAAAAACAAAACCAAGAAACAAAAGGTAAAATGGTGAGTAGACTTCAGCAACACACACACAAGGAAGTCAGAGTGACCAGCACAAACGATAGACTGAAACATGTATGTTTACTTTTTTTCCCCTTGGTCTGTGTCTTATGGTTTCCAAGATTGGGCCTTCTGGAGAAGCAGATACTGAGAAGAGGTTTGGGGCTCAAGGGATTCATTTCCTCAAAAGAAAGGGGAAGAAAGCAGAAAAGCACCAAAGCCATCAAATCACAAGGCTTAGTCAGCAGGAAGCTCTGGATGAGAAATGGCCTTGTCCAGGACACCTAGGAGGAGTAATCTTGGGTAAGATGACTCCCCGCAGTGAAGGCAGACTTTGACATCCAGACTGCTGGAGACTGTCAGCTGACTGGACTCAGAGCAGTTGGGTAGATAGTCCTACCTTCCACACAAGCTTTACGCCCAGTCGTTCCTAGGTCTTTTTTCTTACGTGCCTGCTGACCTCAGGGACTTTATACAAAGGCTCTAGTCTCATGCCTGGACCTTGATACAGCCCTACAGCTTTATTCAGTTCTGTATTCTAAGGTGTTCCTCGCTGAACTTATCTTATTCATTGCTAGAGAGACAGGCAGATGGTTTAAAGAAATACATTTTCACTTTAGGAAATTTGAGACATTAGAAAGGAGGCAATATTGTATAGAGTTGGCAATAATGCCACTACATTAAGAATCAAACACTCGGGCTGGAGAGATAGCTCAGAGGTTAAGAGCATTACCTGCTCCTCCAAAGGTCCTGAGTTCAATTCCCAGCAACCACATGGTGGCTCACAACCATCTGTAATGGGGTCTAGTGCCCTCTTCTGGCCTGCAGGCATACACACAAACAGAATATTGTATACATAATAAATAGAATAAATACATTAAAAAAAAAAGAATCAAACACTCATGAGGATACTTCTATGTTTTGATGGAAAGACTGCTCTGTGCTTTTGTCTGGAGGATATGATGTATGACTTTAACAATCCAGTCTTCAGCTTTGTACAGTAGGCTTTCTTATCTCCAATGGCTGCATTTTGTTTCCATGACATCTTCCTTAGTGTTGACTTTGTAGATGAATACAAATACGTTTATTCTACACACTGCATCAACTGTTAGGTAATATCTAAATTGGTGTAGCTGTTATTTATAGTAATTCATTTCTTTCTTTTTTCTTACTTATTCCCTCCCTCCCTCCCTCCCTCCCTCCCTCCTTCCCTCCCTTCCTTCCTTTTTCTTTAAGACAGAATTTCTTTGTGTAGCCCATGCTGTCCTGAAACTCACTCTATAGACCAGGCCAGCCTTGAACTCACAGAGATCTGCCTGCTTCTGCCTCCTGAGTGCTGGAATTATCGGAGTATGCCACAACCACCCGGCTACATTTCTTTTTATCTTTAAATCATGATCTGAACAGTTTGTGGAGTCAGTTCTTTTCTTTCACCTATATCACACTCAGTATTAAACTCAGTTCAGCAGGTTTGCAGGATAGACACCTTACCCACTAAGTCATCTATCTCATCTACCCATTTATTACTAATTTAGAACATCATTAATTCTGAATTTAATTAAGGAGGTCTTTAGTACTGAATATAAATGACACTTAAAATTGTTATCTCAATTTATTATTGGTTCTAATTTTTAAAGTTTTTATTGTTGTACTACTGACCAGTTTATTTTTACTATTTTTAATTATGTGTCCCTATGTGAATTTGTGCACATGAGGTGCAGGTGCCCTCAGAGGCCAGAGGTGATAGATCTCTCAGGATACTGGGAACTCAACTTGGGTCCTCTGCAAGAGCATAAGTGCTCCCCTGGTGGTGGTGCACACCTTTAATCCTAGCACATGGGAGGTAGAGGCAGGAGAATCTCTGTGAGTTCGAGGCCAGCCTGATCTACGGAGCAAGTTCCAAGACAGGCACCAAAGCTACATAGAGAAACCCTGTCTCAAAAAACCAATCAACCAACCAACCAAACAAACAAAAAGAATACAAGTGCTCTTCCCAGATGTGCTGCCTCTGAAGCTTCTAGTATAGCTTTGATAAAATAAATTGTGCAAATAGCTTCACACCAAATCACTCTCTCTCACTGATGCAGGGTTTTGCCCTGGAACTTTTGCTGCAGACCAGTTTAGTTTGGAATTCACAGAGATCCTGCCTCCCTGGAGTGCTAAGATTAAAGGCATGTGCTACCACACCTGGCCCCAAAGAGCTGATTTTTATTTCAATGTCATTAATAATGATAATTTTGAACTCATGAAATTGGTCAAGAACCTAATCTACACCGTGTGTGTGTGTGTGTGTGTGTGTGTGTGTGTGTGTATACAGCTATGGAATTCTCTGTTGCAAGCCGACTGACTGACCCTCTTGTGTAAACAAACCAGCAGGCAATTGTACTTCTGTCCTTTTAGGACTTTGAAAGCAAAGGTCCTCTGGCTCATCAGGGGTGATGGATATGTGTCATTTCTGTCTGGCACTAGAGTGCAGAGTGCTGCATTCAGACTCGGGGACCTTCAGATCTAGTCCCTTAAACAAAATTTCCCAATATAGGACTTTGATCTCTTAAAGCAACAACAGCATTCAAATGACTCGATTTTCATACCTTATTTTTCAGTGGCATATACTTCCTAGTTTTTACAAAAGAGAGCTGTAAAGGAGAACACATTCTGAAATGACATTTCCACCCTGTGGAGAGCAGTGTCGGAGCTCTCCCATCTCTCACCCCCTCCACTCTCAGAGATACACGTGTCATTTTAAGTGTGGAATAATTCTCCACTTCTGTCTTTGCACAGAAGACGACCTAAGACGCAGTAGTCGCTGTGCTGCTTTTTTTTCCACAGTGCACACATTTAAATTTATCTTTATTCACTGAGTGTGGGTGACTTAGCCTGTCTCTACTTTGATTTTTATGCAAATATCAGGGTGATAATGTCACCTACCCCAGAGAGCTGGTATGAAGTTGAAATCAGATCACGTACCTATGAATACTACCTAAGTACTTCAGACAATATGTGGATCATAGTAAGTGGTTATTATGTTTCAGCTATTGCTCTAATTATGACTTCATAGTAACACTGAAGATTTTTTTTACAAATACTCAAAGGAAGAGTTTTTCTGATAATCATATTTCAAAATCATACTTTTAACATAAATTCATACTGTTTTTTGTATAAGTATATGCCGTCTTTTTAATGTCACATATACAGCCATTGTTTCTAATCTAATTTCTACATTTGAAGTTTTTTTGCAAAGGAGTAAATTCATTTTAGATTATGCATTTAACTTTTAAAATTACATTTATTTATTCTCTCTCTCTCTCTCTCTCTCTCTCTCTGACTGTAGGTCCAACTGCCACTTGTGAGAATCAGTTCTGTCCTTCTACCAAGTTGTTCCCAGGTAATATCAAACTCAGGTTGTCATTCATGATGAATGCATCTACTGACTGCGTTAGTCACCATTTTCTGGCTCTTTTGAAGTTAGAATTCGCATGCAGTACACATTTGGTTTGTGCTTGCTGACTGCTCTGCCTGAAGACGACTGTAGAGACTGACTACCTTTTTGTGGCAGCCAAAGAACCGTCCTACCGAGCGCAAGGTGCCTTCAGTGAGTCAGTTTCACATGGGCTACTTTACAAAACATTAGTCCAACTAAAAATCTCCGTTAATTATTAAGCCCGTCCGTATCATCTGGCTAACTGACACTGAGACCAAAGAGTGAGACCAAAGAGTGTTGATTCCTGAAGTTGAGCCAGTAACCGACAGGAAAATGTAGCTACAGAGGAACTGAAAAGTACTCAGCTGTTTCCTCTTGTACTACCGAAGAGAGTGTCTGCTGCTTGGCTGGCATGTCTGCGACCTAACAAGCATTCTGACGCTTGTTCAGCGGTCCTGGTGTCCTGTGGAAGCATGGCGGAAATTAGTGTTCCAAGAATCCTCCTTCTGCTTCTTTCTCTGGCCAAGGTACTGGAGGGTACAAAGCTGCTGGCGCACCTCAAAAAGTGTGGTGACTTGGAGTGTGAAAGTAAGTTTGCTTTTCTTCTTCACTCTTAAATTGAGTTCTAAAAGTCACATTAAATGCTACTGTGGACCTGTAGGATGAAATCAACGTTAATAGTATTGAGAAATCTCTGAATTATAAACTACAGCTTGATATAAAAAAAGGGAATTCTGAAGCAAAGCATTTTGTGACAGCGTTAGTATAAATTTAACATAAAAGACAAAAATAAGACTGGTATAGAAATATGTCAGAAATGGCATTAATCTGTGTGTCAAAAACTAAATAAAAACTAAAACTTTTACTATTTCTTAATGAAGATTGAGTTGTTTAAAAAAAGACATCGGGCATTTTGGTAATTCACTCTTAATGAAGCTTCTATATTTTAGTTTCTATTTCATGATCAACACTTTCTGATTCTCATGAGTTTCTCCAAAAATGTTTTTATTTCAAGTGTCATGATTTAACTGTCTAAATTTTATCAAATGTTAGTCATTTGTTTTAATTTATTATTCAAAATGCTGAAATAAGTGTTCCAATATATACAATTTATAACATTCAATATTAAATTCTCTTGAGTTTCTATGATGAGAAATTAATTTCTACTTTAAGTACTTACAAAGTAAGTTGCTTAAGAACTTATGTTTAAAAATTTTATTTTATATATGTGGGTATTTTGCCCACAGGTATATATGTATTTTTGTACTATACAACATATGTGCCTAGTGATCACAGAATCCAAAAGAGGGCATTTGATTCCCAGGCACTTGAATTACAGTTATGAGTTTCTGTGTGGGTGCTAGGAACTGGTTCTGGGTCCTCTGCAAGAGCGTAAGTACTCTTAACCACTCAATCATCTGTCTAGCTCCAAGAACTTATTTTTTTGTTTTCCACATGTTGATGCAAAATAACTTTATCCTGCAGAATATGATGACACACACATCTTTAGTCCCAGCACTCAGGAGGCATAAGCTGGCAGATCTCTAGTTCCAGGCCAGCTTGATCTACATAGTGAGTTCTTCTTTTCAAAATAGAGCAACAACAACAAAAACAGAAAAAGAAAATATTGTATGATCATCTTAGAATTGCTGAAAATAATTTCTATCTTTCCAACATGAAAACTGTTTTTAATTTTGCAAAATATAAATTTAAATACAAAATATAACTATATGTAACAAAACGTATATGTATGTATGTATGTATGTATGTATAAAAGATTTATTTGCTGTGTAGCTCTGACTTCCCTGGAACTTGCTTTATAGACCAGGCTGGTTTCAAACTCAGAGATGCCTCTGCCTCTCATGTGCTGGGATTAAAGGTGTGTGCCACCACCACCCAGGTAGTAATATTTTTATGAATAAAAATTTTTGTAACCTTTCTCAGAAGTCATTTGAAACTAATGTTTAGTACATCTTTCTTCCTTCCGTCCCTCCCTCCCTCTCTTCCTTACCTTCTTTCTTTACATCATTTTTTGTTGTTGTTTTGTTTTGTTTTGTTTTGAGATAGTCCCTCTACATAGTCCTGGCTATCCTGGAACTCACTCTGTAGACCAGACTGGCCTTAAACTCACAGAGATCTGCCTGCTTCTGCCTCCCAAGTGCTGGGATTAAAGGGTTGCGCCACCACTCCCTGCCAACTACATGGTATTCCATAGTAAAGACCCTTTAATTTTTCTCTAATAATTGCTTTTTACATTTTAATTGTATTTTTATTTATCCTTAAGCAGTTTCATACATCTTTACGATGTGTTTTGTTCATGTCTACTCCATATCTCACTTCCAACTCCTCCCGAAGCCTCTTGCAACATCCCCTCTCCCAATTCATATTCTCTTTTCTAATTTTTTTAAAAAAGTTATTTTTAAAAGATTTATTATTCATTTTATTTTGCTTGTGAGTGTTGTGTCTGCATGTATGTCTGCACACTACATGCACGCCTGGTGCTGGTAGAGGTCAGAAGAGGCCATGGAAGCCCCTGACACTGGAGTTACAGATTGTTGTGAACCACCATGAGGGCGTGGAGCCATCCACTGGAGCACGTGCAGCCTACCAGTGGCCACACCCCCAGAGAAATGACTCCTCCCTCAGAAGCCATAGACTCAGCAGCCCCTCAGCTAGCAGTCGAGGCCAGTGAGTCCCTCCCTGCTCTGTTCTGGGATGTCAATGGTTTGATCTTGCACAGGTCTTTAGCAGGCAAGCACAGCTGCTGTGCATTTGTGAGTGCAGCAGCCACATCATATCCTGAAGACAGCGTTTCAAAATGCAAAATGTGATCAGTTTAAATATAAACGTTTCATAAGTGATATTTTTATGCATTATCCTTTTTTCTTAACCTTTTTGGAAAAGCCATTCAATATGTAGAAAAGTTTCTGACCATAGTACTCTACAATGACAATTCTTTCCCACTTTGTATTATATCAGCGCTTTAATATCTTTAGGATTCAATGGAAATTCAAATTTATAGTAATTTATAATGCTATTTTGACTCTTTTTGTTTTGTTTCGTTTTATTTCAAGACAGGGTTTCTCTGTATAGCTTTGATGCCTGTCCTGGAACTCACTCTGTAGACTAAGCTAGCCTCAAACTCACAGAGATCCTCCTGCCTCAGCCTCCTGAGTGCTGGGATTAAAGATTTGGGCCACCATCACCCAGCGCTATTTTGACTCTGAAGGACTTAATCAGTACGTCTTTAAATTTTACACATTAGTACCATAATAGTTATATGATATGTATGTTACCCTAGACTCTGGAGGGCTGAATCAAGCATACGTGATTCACTCAGAGTCACTGAGGACCTCCCATGTCTCCGGGGGATGTGCTTTAATACAATGTGTTTTAAAAGGAAATAAAGTGAAATGTGAGCTGTTTCTTCCTCTGTAGAAATATTAATTTTATTTAATAATGGCAAGATAGATCAAGGCGAAACAGTAGTGACATAAAATTGTGAGGACAGCAGGTAATGCTGGAGTCCAGACTCAGACAGGAAGCAAGAAGAGAGGTAGGTTTTTTTTTTCTGGACTGAGGGAAGATAGATGCTTAGGATAAGTGAGGTGATGTTTCAGTTAAAAAAAACTCTCAGGGCAGACCTAGCCAACCATAGCTATCTGATCAGCCCCCTAAGCCTTAGCTAGATGCTCACTTTTAGAATGAAATGGGATTGTTTGCCTTATAGATGTGCACCGAGGACTTAACAGAATGAAAATATAATGGCTGGACAGGTAGATAGCAGAAAGAAAGTCAGCATCCTACACACTGGAGAACAGTGGTGACTCCCTCCAAGAACAATGTATTTGCAAGCTGGAGTCTGTGGACAGGAACAAGAGAGGTTGCTTAAAATAGGGAAGGGCACGGACTTCAGAGATGAATCTATACATATGAGGTCTTACTGCTCCTGCAGAGGATCTGGGTTTGGTTCCCAGCACCTACATGGCAGCTCACAACTGCCTATAGATCCAATTCCAGTGGATCTAGAACCCTCTCTGGCCTTTGTGAACACCAGGCACACATATGGTGAATATACAATCATGCAAGCAAAACACTCAAATACATAAAATGAAATATAAACATCTTTAAGACCTAAAACGCAATAAGGAAGGGAGGGCCTGTGAGATACTCAGCGGGTCGAGGCACTTGCTGCCAAGCATGACAGCCTGAGTTTATTGACAGCCAGGCCCCACTGGATACCAGAAGAGAACTGACCCCCAAAAGTTGTGTTCTGGCCTCTACACGTGCCCTACATATACATGCACACATGCACACATGCACACATGTGCGCTCACACACGAATGTAATTTAAATAAAAAATGAGTAAGTGGGATCATTGTAAATAATCTTTAATACTGTGCCAAAAAAATCTGGGTTTGAATTTGTGTGCAGTGAAAAGTTTACTTTGGTTTTTGAGATTAGCATTTCAAACTTTATTATTACTCCTACTACTATTATTATAGAAATAGCCTGTGGTAGTTTTCTGTGGCCCCAGAAGCTCATAGGGAGTGGCACCATTAGGAGCTGTGGTTTTGTTGGAGTAGGTATGACCTTCCTGGAGGAGAAGTGTGTGACTGTGGGGGCAGGCTTTGAGGTTTCCTACACTCAAGATACCACCGAGGGGCACAGACACTTCCTGTTGTCTCTAATCAAGATATAGCCAGCACCGTGTCTGCCTGCACACATGGACTGAACCTCTGAAACTGTAAAGGAGTCACCACAATTAAATGTTTTCCTTATAAGAGTTGCTGTGGTCATGGCGTCTCTCCATGGCAATAGAAACCCTTACTAAGACATAGCCTAAATTCTTGAAATCCTCCTACCTACCTCAGCTTCATGAGTGTTGGGATTACAAGTGTGAACTATCAGGCCCAGCTATCATTTCAGAACATGAGGAATGGCTAGGTGGTGGTGGCACATGCCTTTAATCCCAGCACTCAGGAGGCAGATGGGGAGGATTTCTGTGAGTTTGAGGCCAGCCTGGTCTACAGAGCAAGTTCCAGGACAGGCTCCAAAGTTACACAGAGAAACCCTGTCTCGAAAAACCAAATAAATAGATAAATAAATAAAATAAAAAACAAACAAACAAACAAAAACCTTAAAGGATGGATTGAAGGAAGGCAAAGTGGCTGGAGGAGTCAATGATGGTGGCATATATCTATAATCTCAGCATCTGGGAGAAGCTGAAGCAGAAAGATTTTAAGCTTGAGGCTAGTGCAGGATACATAACAAGACCTTGTCTACAAATAAGTAAATGAGAGGCAGTAACATTTTAAAGTGTGTGCTTTTCTTTATGTGTCTATGCAGCCTTAATCAGCAGAGTCCTAGCCCGGACAGATCACACAGGACCTGACTGTCGGTACCTGAACTTTACTGAGGGCGAAGAGATATCTGTTTATGTTAAACTTGCAGGAGAGAGAGAAGATCTTTGGGCAGGCAGCGTAAGTATCCAGTTTTAAGAACTGAATGCTGAATGAATGGCCAACTTGCACAAGGATACTCCCTGTTAGTCTATAAAGGAACTCTTATCACTATATAAATATTAAAACCCTCATTATGCTTAAGCAAACAAACAAAATATGATCACATGCACACATTTAATCCAAGTACTCTGTACAAGGCCAGCCTGATCGACATAGCAAGTTCCAGACCAGCCAGTGCTCAAAAACAAACAAACAAACAAACAAACAAACAAACAATCCCCCCCAAATACCAAAAAAACACATTTAGTGATGGCTCTAAAATTTCTTTAAAAAGAAGTTTTGGGTAGGCAGCTTAAGATGAAGGACTAAAAGAATTCTTCAAAATTACCTTTACATCACATAGATTGTTTTAAGCTTAGAATTCATAGTTATTTAGAAAGCATTTAGGAGTACTGACAGATATATAATGGTCACCACAACCATCTGTCTGTGCTGTCAGAGACGAAGTTTGAGAAAGACCAGACGTTAATTGATCACATTTCAAAGCATGTCTATCTGAAGAGAAAGGACTGAAGTTGGCTGAAGAGGTCAACAGAAAGGTTGATACTCTAGAGAAAAAAGGTATATACATTTTTTATGGACAATAAAAGAATAACTGCGAGACCTTTTATTTCGCCAAACTAGAAGCAGCCTAAACCATCTCTGAGGATAATAATTAATGTTTTTAATTGAAAAGATTTATATCTCTGCTGTGTATTATGTTTTTTGTAATAATGGAATGCTATGGTAGACGAGTTTTCTCCCAAGCTCACCAGACATGACCAGTCTGATGGAGTCCCATAGGGTTCCCATATTGTGTATGTACCAGGTTCTTCCCCAGTGCAGTCTCTGTGCTTACTGTCTGAATGGTCAGGCTGTCCATAAACTCCCAATGTAGCTGAGCCTGAATGCCAGATCCTCCCGAGTGTCGATGTTGCTGATGTGCAATGCCATACCCATCTGAAGGTGAAAACTTCCTCTTCCTCCCAGAGGATGTTTAACCAAACCTTTGCCACTGGCCAGATTTGCCCTGATCTGCAGCTACTGGGACTATTTACTACTTAGAATGGCTTTAAAATACCTGTTTGTGTGTTTTGAATGCATCACAGAAATCTGATGCAGGTATAAGAAAATGACATAGTTTAAGTCATAAGAGGCCAAGAGAACAATCTTTTTTGTTTGTTTACTAAGCATGAAAATGATAATTCTACATAAGACAGTGTTTAATGGATAAAGTCTGAGTGAAGTCTCAGTTGCTTTTAGTTTGGTATATTAAATGTTTAGTCTAATTGCTTCTCTGCCTTTTTGCTAACATGAATAGAGATGAACAGTTATGCTTACAACTGTTAAGGACTCATACCGTGGACTCCTAGGGCATCTCCAAACAGTCTATGTACTATGGAATACCTATTGCTCTTACTCTATATTGTAACTAACGAGAGCTAGCAAAATGATGTTTAATGTGTGTTGGTGTTAGATTGATCAGAAGACAGAAAGACATCTGTGGAACCTTAGCAGTCATAAGAGCTGCGAGTGGCTGAGTGATGACGTCACTCTTGGGGGCCATCCTACGTGTGCTTGAACTGGACCAAAAGACTCTGTTACCAGGCTAGCCCAGAAAAGTCAAAAGGAGCCAAAAGGAACTGCATCCTCCCTTGGGGACAGACGGACCTTAGCTACCTTGATGGATACATCTGCAGCTCCTGGGAGTTTAAATCCTTTTTTGAATGTGACACATTGAAAACTCCAACTTTGTCACATCCTCTGGAGTCTTCCTTAGCTGTCATTTAAATTGTTACTTTTTGCTATCTCAGATAAAAAAGTGTAAATCTGCAGAACCCGAGAGAAGAAGATCCTTAGGAAATAAGGGAGGGCTGGGCTGGAACAATGGCCAGTAGTCAAGAGCACTTGCTATACTTCCAGAGGACCTGGGTTTTCTCAGTATCCACATGGCAACTCACTACTCCAGTAACTCCAGTTCTAGGGGATCTGATGGCCTCTTCTGATTCCCACAGGCACTACAAGTAAAACATCCATACACATAAAATAAAAATAAATAAGTCTTAAAAATAAAAGAGTGGAGAGGGAGCGAGAATAGTAGGAGTATATAGCCCAGTTTTGGCAGGGGCACTTCCAGTGTGGGTCATTGTGCCCTTAATACTATCCTGTCAAACAGCATAAAGCTAAGGCCTCACTCGTGTTCTCTTTGTTGTTATTGTTTGTTTGGCACTGGGACATGAATCCAGGGCCCCGTGCACGCTGAGAAAGCTCTCTTCCACCTCATTACACCCCAGCCCCCACTCACAATTTTTAGATGATATTTGAGAGCCAATTAATGATTTGTGATTTCATGTAGCTAAAAGTCAAGGTCTCAAAAAGAACTGAGGCTCAGTAGTTATGACAGCTTCAATCACCTCTCCTTTATAACTTTGCTCTCCATTTTGTTAGAAAGGAAAGGACTTTGGATTTTTCCCCAGAGATGCAGTCCAGATTGAAGAGGTCTTCATATCCGAAGAAGTCGAGATGCCAACTAAGGTGAGTAAACCCATTCTCAGCTATTAACTGATTCAAAAGGTTCTTGGCAAAATGTCTTCCTTGGAATAAATGTCATTGGTTGTGTGCTTTGTTTAATGGTTGTCAACAATAGTTATTAAGAACTTGGTCTTGGCATGGTTTGTGTATGTGAATACAATTAGATAAAACAGCACAGTTAAAAACTTTGCTTTTTGAGCAATTAACAGGCAATAGAGTACAGTGGTTAGAAAAGTGAATTCTGGAGAGACACAACATACTCTAAATAAAATATATAATTGAAAAAGAAAAAGAATCAAAATGATATTTCAATACATGAATTTGACTTGCCAGTTTATTCGGATTCCAGGTTTTACCAGGAGTGAGGACATGGTGAAATAAGAGTGTTTGCTTTCACACTGTCTTTCATCGGCACTGGGATTAGCTGTCCACTTCCTGTCAGATACTTGGCCCTGTCACTTGTATCTCTGTTGTATCTGTAGCACATTCTCTCCTCTGTGTGTCCCCTCTTGTAGACCTCTCCCAAGGCACTGTCGTCTCTGTCTGTCACAATTTTATTTTATTATTGCTGTGCTCTATGTGCATAATAAGGGGAAGAGTCATTGCCACGGAGCGCCTGTGGAGGTCAGAGGACAACTTTGAGGAGGAAGTTCTCACCTTCAGTACTTAAATGGACTCCAGGGATCAGACTGACATTCTCAGGCTAGCACAGTAATTGCCTTTATTCACCGAACCGTTTCACTGGCCAGGCAACATCACTATTTGACCGGAACACAGTAGCCTTCTAACTGCTTGACTCTATTTTGCTCCTTTCCAGTCCATTCTTCGAAAAGCAATGGATCTTGTGAAAACAAAAGCAAATGATCAGGTCATGTCATTTTTTTCCTTAAATACCTTCCATGGCTTTTCATTGGCCCTGGCATACAGCTCAGACTCCATCCCAGGTCCTGTTTGTGCCACTGTTTCTGCCTGGTACCCCCCTCCTCCCATAAGCCACACATACCCCTGGATAGACTGGCTTTTGGGTTTTTCTTAGAATGTGCCAACTCTTTCTTAGCCCAGACACTTGAAGGGACTCTCTCTGGGTAGGACACCCCACACTTTTTCATCTAGCTGGTTTCTTCTTACCCTGTAGGTGCCGGCTTAAATCTTTAGTGCTTCTCAGGAAACTTTTGGAGTATTTCCCTAGACTCCAGTGATGTGGGATTCTCCTCTGTATGCCGTGAATATGTTTTATTACCATTGGTTAGTAAAGAAGCTGCTTTGGGCCTATGGCAGGGCAGAATAAAGCCAGGTGGGAAATCCAAGCAGAGATATATAGAGAAGGTGGAGTCAGAGACGCCATGTAACTGCCAAAGGAGAAAGAAACCCCAGAACCTTACCGGTAAACCACAAGCCTCGTGGTAAAATGCAGAATAATAGAAATGGGTTAATTTAAGATGTAAGAGTTAGTTAACCAAAGGCCTTAGCTAATAGGCCAAACAGAATATAGTTTCTGTGTGATAATTTTGGGTCTGGGCAGTCAGGAAAGTAACAAGCAGCCTCCATCTAGTGATGCTAAGGCAGTGAATTTGGCTAAACTCAGCAGATTCGATGCAGTCATTATGTGCATTTTTTTGTGAGCCAATTATCACTCTATATAGATTGGGGGATGTTATAATTAGTGTGTAATTTTAAAAAAAGTGGAGCCAGTAATAAGATGACTGAGCCAGTGAAGGAACTTTGCCAAAGCCTGATGACTTGAGTTGATCCCTGGAACCCTTGTGGAAGGAGACAATCAGCTCTACAAATTTGTCCTTTGACCTCTACATGGACATCATGGTATACTTGTGCTCAACGTTAGTCGTGTGTGTGTGTGTGTGTGTGTGTGTGTGTGTTTGTGTGCATATGTGTGTCACATGCACTTGTGCCACAGTCCATGTGTGGAGGTTAGAGGTCAACTTACTGGAGTTGGTTCTGTCCTACTATGTGGGTTTGACAATCAGGTCCCTAGGCTTGGTAGTGGGCACCTTTACCTGTTGAGCAATCCAAACGTGAGAGCTGAGAGCTGATGGCAGCAGGAAAGAGAGTGAGCGAGCGAAGGCCTGACAGAGCAGGGGCTGAGCCCACCCCTGATAAAGAATTACTCCTGGGCTGATGCGCCCACTCCAGTGACAATGATAGCAGCCTTTGTCCATTCACATTGCCCTCGTGGCCTAATCACTAATGACAAGGGGCCATCTCTTGTGACTGTTGCATTAAGTTTCCTGTATATGCCTTTGGGGAAGCACATTTAAGTTATATATTATATAGCCCGTGCCCTGAAATCACTGCAAAACTGTGTGCATTCACTTAGCACATTCTTAGGAGGTGTCAGATTTTGTAGCTACTCCATGTATGCCTTCTCATCAGAACTTATTTGTGGCATATACTCAAAGCATTAATAATCTATGTTTTTCAGCTGTTTGATAACAAATGAAGCATACTCTAAGAATTTTCATTTAAGTTTATATCATTAGTCCTTGGAAGTCAGTTGTAATGCATGTATTTGAGATTCAGAGACCTGATTTTAGGTTTTACTCTAGGGTTAAGGTAGTTGTATACTTTTGGGAAAATCATGGTCATCCTTTTTCTTTATTTTATTTTTGAAATAGTTTTTTAACAAAACATTTATTTTTAGTTATTTGTCTGTGTGAGTGTATGCCACGTGTATACAGATGCCCAGGAAGGCAAGAAGAGGATATTAGATCCCCTGAACTGGCGTTAGAGGCAGTGAGTGAGAGTCATCTGATGTAGGTGCTGAAAACTGAGCTCGGGTCCTCTATAGAGCAATAAGTGCTCTTGTATGATTTTTGTTTTGGTTTGTTTTGCTTCTTTTTCAAGATAGGGTTTCTCTGTGTAGCCCTGGCTATCTTGGAAACCCCTCTGTAGACCAGGCTGGCCTCAGTCTTAGAGATCTGCCTGTCTCTGCCACCTCAGTGCTGGGATTATGGGTGTGAAACAACACACCTGGCTACAGTCTACTATCTTAAAATGTTTAGAGAGAGGTATTTTTTTTAAAGTAATTTTATTAAATTATAAAAGTTTCCATTTCCGCCCCTCCTCCCACCACCCTCCCACTTCCCCCACTCCCTCTCCTCCTCCCTCTCCATCCCTAAGAGCAGTCAGGGTTTCCTGCCCTGTGGGAAGTTCAAGTTCCTCCCCCCTCCCTCCAGGTCCAGGAAGGTGAGTATCAAAACAGACTGGATCCCAAAAATCCAGTATATGCAGAGGAAACAAGTCCCAGTGTCATTGTCAATGGCTTTTCAGAAAGACTCCGGGCCAGCCACATTCAGAGAATCCGGCCACATTCAGAGAATCTGGTTGGAACATGTCCTTGTTCAGTCCCAGTCCAACTGGCCTTGGTAAACTTAGAGAGAGGTATTTATGACTTTTTTTTTCTTTTAGGAATCTGACTTTCTTTGTCTTCTTGGGGAAGGCTACATATTTGGAAGTGAACATAGTGAGTTGAACAGCGATGATGATGGAAATATGTACCCATATGAAGGACATGAAGACCAAAACTATAATATATATGAAAGTGGTTTTCAGCCAGAGCCTGACTTTTATGCAGCTTCTGAAGGGACTTCGTTTGAAGACCAAATTCCAGCATCAGAAACCCGTGAAGAGTTCAAGATTTCCAATGAGTACAAGGACTTGGAAGAGGCTGGAAGTGCAGGCAGTGGGGAGCAGGGTTACACTTCCGACATGGACCATGACTTGTCTGAAATGCAAGGACGGTTTGGACTGGGGAGAGAAGCTAAAGAGCAGACTTTTAAAGCAGATTCTGAACGCACCCAAGAAAACTCATCTCAAACTAGAGAATTAACAGTGGAGGAGGAGAATGACCCAGAGAAACTAAACGATGGTGAACCCCAAATGGAGCCTGAGCAAGATCCAGAAGCCCAGTTTGATTCAGAGACACCAGAATTCAGTCAAGTCTCAGAGGAACAGTATGAGCTAGTGTCTGAGTCAGAGAACACCCTCAAGTCTCAAGCCACTGGCTGGTTTGGTGGTGGGTTTACAAGTTATTTAGGTTTTGGAGAGGAGAACACAGAACACATTCCGCCATTACAAGATGTTCCCAATTCTGTTTCAGCTGATGAAGAGGCCCCAGCTCCATACAGAGAAGTGTCAGCAGACAAGGAAGATAAGGTCATCAATGGCAGCTCAATTCCCAGCCCAACTTGGTTTGACTTTGGTTTTGGTATTCTCGGCTTTGCATATGCCGATGAAGACAAAAGTATTTCAGACGATGGGAAATGTGAAGATGGTGAGGCCGAAAACCACAAACATCCTATAGCAAATGATTTTGACCCTGGAAAGGAACAAGAAAACAGAATGATAACTGTTGTGGAAACAGAAGATCAGACAGGTAAAGAAAGCACCTTGGAGAAGATAGATGGCTCCGATTCTATGCGGTATCTGAAGAAGTTCTTCTATAACTCTTGGAGCTTCCAGAGTCTGCCAGAGGACACAGAATTGCCATTCTCCACACAGACGCTGGATCAAGATAATATCGCTGAAAGCGACAAAACTGAAAAGCTCCCCACTGAAAATTCTGCTGCTGAGAGCGTGGAAGAGCCCATGATGCTGGACAGCACATACAGCCTGTCAGGTTGGTGTGAAAAGATTTATATTTGTTGGGATGATTTTTAAAAGACTTTTACTTATTTATTATGTCAGTGTTCTGCCTGCATGTATGCCTGCAGGCCAGAAGAAGGCACCAGATCTCACTACGGATGCTTGTGAGCCACCATGTGGTTGCTGGGAATTGAACTCAGGACCTCTGGAAGAGCAGTCAGTGCTCTTAACCGCTGAGCCATCTCTCCAGCTCCAAATGGTTAATTTTCCTAAGTACCAATCAGATAAAAAGGTTCATGTTTGCACTGGGGAGATGGCTCAGAGGACTAAACCCCTGCTGCATAAGCATGAGGATGAATTTGGATTCTCCCCAAACATATGAAGAGCAGGGCAGCTTGTAGTGGTGGCCGCTTGTAGGCTCAGCACCTAGAAGGGAGAGGCAGAGGATTGCAGGGGCAAGTTGATGAGCTAGACTGTGTGGGACCATGGAGCTCCATTCAGTGAGAGACCTGCTTCAGTAAATAACATACAGAAAAACTGAGGCAGACAAAAGATGTTCACTCAGGCCTCCACCTGCACACACTCACACATACCCAAATACATACACACCTATTTACTCCTTCATTCATTCATTTTTCTCTTATAGATTGCATTCTGGCCATAGTTTTCCCTCTCTCCACTCATTCTCGTTTCCCCTCTGCCTCCCCTCTCCCACAGATCCACCCCTCCTCCATTTCTCTTTAAAAAAAACCCGTAAGAGCAGGCCTCTCAGGGATGTCAGCTGAACATAGCATAGCAAGTTACAATAAGACTAGATACAAACGTGGTCAGTAACATGGATATCTGCTTAACCAGGTCTAATTAATTTCTGACGGGAAGAAAAGGCAGTGACAAGTTTCATCATCTTCTGAGATTGCTTTCAGTAATTTGACATGCTTATCTTGCTGACGCAGTGTGTGACCCTTCTGAAACCACCAAAGGGAACAGTAATCTTGCGTGAGAGTTTTCCTTTGCCTGGAGTGATCATAGCCAAAATGACCAAAAGCTTAGTACTGTTGTAACTTAATTTTTCAGCACAGCTTGTCCTGTATTTGTCTTTCTTTTCTTGGTTTTTTGAGACAGGGTTTCTCTGTAGCTTTTGAAGCCTGTCCTGGAACTAGCTCTTGTGAACCAGGCTGGTCTCAAACTCACAGAGATCTGCCTGCCTCTACCTCCTGAGCCCTGTATTTGTCTTGAAAGAGAAAAAAGTATTTGTGTGTACAAACTCATGGCAGCGTGGATTTCATAATTGCTATTTTTATATTTTTTACAAATATCTGTGTCTTCCATGTACAGAGTCAACATAGAACTACAAAATGCCATTGTCTAAACTCTGCCAATCTTTTTTTTGTTTGTTTCTTTGAGACAGGGCCTCATGTAGCTCAGGCTAGCCTTAAACACACTAGCAGAGGATAACCCTCAGCTCTTCATCCTCCTACCTTTCCATCCCAAGTGTTGGCAGTATAGGTATGCACCATAATACCTGGCTAAGACTATTTCTTTAATTTATCTGTGTTACACAACATCTCTAGTATTTGAGTCACTAACATAATGTACTCAGAATGCAAGACATACTAAGAGCTGCATGTGACTGTATATAGCTATCATCCAGCACTGGGAAGGCTGAGACAAGAGCTCATTCTGTGTGAAACCATGTTGGACTGACTGCAGAGTGAAACCCTGTTGCAATAAGTAAATACAAAAAGTATACAAGACATTGTGTTAGCTGAAGAGGATTCCAGTCTAGAGTATCTATTCCTCTAAAATTCTCAGCTGGTGTAAAGGATGGGTTTGAGTGGAATTTTAAAAGCTTTTTTATAAGAAATTGTTTTTGTACTGGGCAATGGTGGCACACCCCTTTAATCCCAGCATTTGGGATTACAGAGGCAGGTGTATCTCTGTAAATTTGAGGCCAGCCTGACTGATCTACAGAAGGAGTTCCAGGAAGTTTTATTTTGTTTTGTTTTGTTTCATTTTTTTTCTTCTTTGAGGCAGGGTTTCTCTGTAGCTTTAGAGCCTGTCCTGGAACTCACTCAGACTGGCCTCAAACTCACAGAAATTTGCCTGCCTCTGCTTTCAGAGTCCTGGGATTAAAGGCATGTACCACCACTGCCTGGCGTGATTTTTTTTTTTAATATGTTCCCTCAACTATGTAGTATGGTATGGTATATACTAATGGAGTGGAATGGATGTGGGATTAAATGGACAACCACGGATGAAATTTGAATGTAATGAATCCCCGAAAGGACACGAAGAACAACAATGTGTGGCATTTGATCGGCACCTTATCATTTTCAAACTTCCTCCTAAATAGCTTAGTGATACTACCCTTTTTCTGTATAATGTTTGATTTCCAGGTCTCACAAGGTACAAGCAAAGTATTGACTCTTGCAAAAGGCCCCTGACCTCCACACACATGCAGTGGCACACATACATTTACACACACATGCACACAAGAAAAAATCTTGGGCTGGAGAGATGGCTCAGTGGTTAAGAGCATTGCCTGCTCTTCCAAAGGTCCTGAGTTCAATTCCCAGCAACCACATGGTGGCTCACAATCATCTGTAATGAGTTCTGGTGCCCTCTTCTGGCCTGCAGGCATACATGCAGACAGAATGTTGTATACATAGTAAGTAAATAAATATAAAAAAATCTTGAGTGATTGTGGATTTTATATTTAATGGTGAATATTGTTACATACACATGCTCTAACGGACTCAGTTTTAGAACTTAAAATCAGTTACTGTAAACTCTAGTATGACTTTCCTTATTGTAACTATCCTATTTATTAGATAGAATTAGCTACCAATATCAAGCATCCTGTAGATACTGTAAATAAATTTGGCCATTCAGACTCCCTGGTTATCTAACAGGTAAGTAAGCAAAATCTGTTCCACTGAGTGATGTCTGCATATTGTATCTTTTTGGGTGCATGTTTCTAACAGGAATAAAACCATTTTGTTATTTTATTTTTGAGACAGGGTTTCTCTATGTAGTCTTTGCTGACCAGGAGCTTGTTCTGTAAACCAGGGTGGCCTCAAACTTAGAGATTCACCTGCCTCTGTCTCCCTAGTGTGGGGATCAAAGACATGTACCACCATGCCAGGCAGAAATCTTTTTTCTTTAATTAATTGTATTATTTTATTTATATGAGTGTTTTGCCTGTAGGTATGTTTGTGTACCCCCAGAAACCAGCATTGGATACCCTGAAAGTGGAGCTACACATGGCTCTAAGCCATTATATGGGTGCTGGGAATTGAACCTGGGTCCTTTGCAAATGCAGCAAGTGAGCCATATCCCCAGCCCCAGGAATGAAATCTTTTTTAAAAATTATTTATTTACTTTAAAAATATGTATTTTTACTATGTGTATGTGTGTCTGTGTGTGCTTGTATGCAAATGTCATGGTGCATATGTGATGATCAGAGACAGACTGTAGAGTTAGTTTTCTCTCTCTCTTTAAATAAACTTACTGATTTATAATTTATGTTCACTGGTGTTTGGTTTGCATGCATGTCTGTGTAAGAGTGTCAGGTCCCCTGGAACAGGAGTTGTAGACGGTTGTGAGCTACCGTGTGGGTGCTGGGAATTGAACCCTGGGTCCTTTGGAAGAAAAGGCTAATGATCTTAACTGCTGAGCAGTCGTCTCTCAACAGGATCTGTTCTCTCCTTGCACTGTGTGTGTCCTAGAACTTGAACTCAGGTTGTCATACTTTGCTGCAATGACCTTTACCCCCGAGCCATCTTGATCAGCCCAAGGAATTAAACTTTTTTGTGTGTGTGAGTGTGAGGGCTGGGTTTTTGGGATAGGGTTTCTCTGTGTTGCCCTTGTTCTCCAGAAACTCTCCTTGTAGAGCAGGCTGGCCTTGAACTCACAGAGCTCCACCTACCTCTGGAAAGGAATGGAATCTTAATGGGACCTGTTTATTATTCTTAATCATGAGCTTATACAGTAGAAGAAAAGTTGATGTTCATTAGTTTCTGCTTTTCCTTTATTTTAAAGCCTGGGTCTTGCTAGATCACCTAGGCTGATCTTGAACTTGTCACTCTCCTCTGTTTGTTTATGAAATATTGGAATTACAGACTTGTGCCACCACGACTGGTTTCATTTTTAAATTTTTCCTATGTTTTAATTTTTTTAAAAAACATGTTTGCTTGCTTGAACACAATTTTTAGGACACCCCCCCATACACACGTGTGTAGCGTAGATCTGAGTACAGTCCTTTTATTTTATTTTATTTTTGATCTTCCTTGGTCAATATATAAAGGAAGCACTATGTGAATACCAGCCCCTCAAGGCCTGTCTTAACCTCCAGACCCATGGGCATGTTATCTCACATGCAGAAAGGACTTCAGAGGTTGTTTTTTTCAAGTTACCAGAAGGAACATAACTTTGCAAGTATAGCTTTAAGATTTTGACTTCAAAAAGTCTAACAGAACAAATTCTATTACTTAAGCCAAAGACTTACGGTCGGTTTGCCACAGCACTTTAAGAACTGGTACAAGTCACAGCTAATGTTTCTGCTTTTTCTCCAATGTCGTCCTATACTGGCTGGCCATGTTGTTTCAAACAATAACTTTCCAGAAAATAAAAAGAGCCAACTATAAAGCAAGGATTTTAGAAATGATGTTTCTTTATATGTATTTGTAGATATGGCCTCTGAAGTAGAGTTACCTGTGAGCGTCCGTGAAGGAATACATTCCAAAACTTCATCTCTGAAAAGGAACGAGGAAGATTCAGAATCCTGGGAGGACCCTGAAGGGCCTGCTGTGGTGGACACTGGCAGCTCTGTGGAAGGTGCCTTGCTTGGTAGTCAGCTGGTTTCTCAACAAGGTAAGAAATGGTTATCTGTTCCAGTTCATTGGCTGAAGAAGAAAGTAGATTCGGAAATAATAGATCACATGGTGATATGCTTTATTTCTAAACCAACAGAACATGACGCAGAATTTCAGATTCTGAAGTATTTATTTCAAATTGATGTCTTCGGCTTCATGAAGTTTGCTTTTTCAACAATCGAAATTCTTACAGAAAGGGTGAGTCAGATTTAAAATTTTTATTTATATTTATTTAATGTGTTATGTGTGTGTGTGTGTGTGTGTGTGTGTACACACATGTGTGTGAGAGAGAGTCACGATACACATGTGGAGGTCAGAAGACAATTTGTTGGAGTCTGTTTTCTCATTCCCCCATGTGGGTCTTAGGGATCAAACCCACTAGGCTTGCCAGCAAGCTCCTTTACCAGGTGAGCCATGCCACCCACCCCATGGATTTTTAAATCTTTTGCAATATTTTTTACCCAATACATGAATGACTTATGTGCTTGAGTGACTCTTCCCTCACAAGCCTCACAGTGCTTCCCTTTCCATGAAATCTTACGTGTGAGTTCCTCTCAGATAAAGGTTTTGTTAATAGATGTTGTTAGGAATTTATTTATTTATTTTTGAAGCAGGGTTTCTCTGTGTATACCTGGCTGTCCTGGAACTCACTCTACTGACAAGGCTGGCTTCAAACTCACAGATCTGCCCGCCTCTGCCTCACAAGTGCTGGGTATAAAGGTATGCACTACCACCGCCCAGCAGGAATTTTTTAAAAAAGATTATGAATAATGATTTTCTGTTTTTTGTTTTGTTTTGTTTTGTCGGTAAAATTATACTAAGTGAGTCAATTAGAAATAATATGCGTTAAGAGTCTTGAACAAATTGTTAGTACCAAATGACAGTTGTGATCTTGAAGTAATGTAATAAGAATACAAATCCAGGGGCTGGAGAGTTGGCTCAGCGGTTAAGAGCACTAATTGCTCTTCCAGAGGTCCTGAGTTCAATTCCCAGCAACCACATGGTGGCTCACAGCCATCTGTAATGAGATCTGGTGCCCTCTTCTGGCCAGCAAGGAGACAGACAGAACACTGTATACATAATAAATAAATAAATCTTTAAAAAAAAAAAAAGAATACAAATCCAACCAACACTATAGTACTTAATTTTACTGTAGCAAAAATTTCAAATTCTGTTCACATTCTCTTTTGTTGCTAATCTGATTGTCTGCTATATGTGGTTTCTCACATCTGCAATACCAGCATTTGAAAAGTAGAGGCAAGAGGATTGTCAGTTGGAGTTCAGCTTGGGCTCCAAAGTGAAAACTCCATCTGAGAAAGGGGAGGGAGCCCTGGAGAGCCGGCTCGGTGATTAAGGGTACTTGTTGCTCTTGCAGAGGACCTGGGTTCAGTTCCTGGCACCGACATGTCAGGTTACAATCTCTAACTGGAGTTACAGATGTAACTCACCCTCTTCTGGATACCAGAGACACTAGGCACACACATGGTGCACATACACACATGTAGGCAAAATATCATGCATATAAAGATAAGTACATCTTTAAAAAACTTATTACTAAGTGAGATATAGCCCTGCAACAGGGTCCCACTTTAGTATTAAGCACAAAAGAAATCTTCTGCAGGTGGGTGGTGGTGGTGCATGCCTTTAATTCCAGTACTCAGGAGGCAGAGTCAGGTGCATCTCTGAGTTCAAGGGCAGCCTGGTTTACAGACTGAGATCCAGGGCAGCCAGGCCTACACAGAGAAAACTTGTCTTGAAAAACAAAAAGAAATATTCTCCACTGAAAATTATACCAGAGAAATTAAGAACTTAAAAAATAATTTACTAATCAGAACATGATATTTAAGTCACTATAAAATATTTATTTAATGAAACCTACTAAGTATGCTTACTTTTGTGGGCTTAGTAAATGCAGTCAAATATATTTTCCTTAACTGTCTTGGTTGAAATTCTTTAGATATGACAATATTGAATTTAAGTTTTATTGTTCTTTTAAAAAGAATATGATGATGATGGGATGCCCCGGGCGGCTGGCGGAGCAGCTGCTAGTCCGACAAGGATGACCCTGGGTCCCTGCAAGATCTCCAGGGTGGGGGCGCCATGCGTCCGGGGGAGTCAGGTGGCCAGGGGAGTCAGGCGGGCGGTTACGGCGGATAAAAGGCTCACAGGACATAGTATTATTTAAAGAAGAGGGAGACATTTATTGCTTAAAGAAGAGAAAAACAGAGAGGCATAAGAGAAACAGAGAGAACAAAGACACACATACAGACAACACGAGACAAACACATAAGAGAGAGAAGATGGCGGCGAGGGAGGTCCGAAGTGGCTGGGGTGGGCGTGGTTAGTTCTTAAAGTGACAGCAAAAGAATAACAAGTTTATTTTAATTTTTTTGTGGTCTTGGAAAGTTACATATTCTTTGGAGAAACATCTTAGTATTAAACCTTCATTGTTAGAGGCTGAGACTAGATAATAGGCTCCTGGTGAAGTGAACTTGTACATTGTTTTTTAAAGTCATTGTCGGACCTGGAGGTGGTGATGCATGCCTTTAATCCCAGCACTCTGGAGGCAGAGGCAGGTGGAGCTCTGTGAGTTTGAGGGCAGCCTGGTCTACAGAGAGAGTTCCAGGGCAGTCAGAGGTGTGACATCGAGAAAACCTGTCTGGTGATGTGGGCTTGTGATGCAGCTCCATGGAGGAGAGAACGTGTTGGGTTGCACAAGGCCTTGGGTTTAGTTCCCCAGTTCTGAAAACAACTGTAGCAAAATACAGCGCGCAAAACAACCGTAACAAAACACAGCGTAGCAAAACACACACGCGCGCGCGCGCGCACACACACACACACACACACACACACACACGAGTCTATTATCAATATTTAAAATGCGAGTTCATTTAACAATTCCGGATTCTCTCGGAAAGCTAAAAGATTGCAATAGAAACCTCTCTAGTCTGGCAATGCTCAGGCTGACGAACGTAGACTTGTACTGTGCAACCGCTTGCATGTATTTTAACTGCTTGGCTTCTCTGGGGCCCGCAGCCCACAATCATTGGATTACATGTTCTAAAGAGCCTCTAACAGACCTGGAACCTAGTAATCTGGCACGGCTTTGAGGCACCCATTACACAGATCTGAAAAGCTCCTGCAAACAAAAAACCGGAGCAATTTTCCAGTTAAGTTTGAGTGAACATTTTCTTGCCTGGTGGCGGTGATTGTTTCAGTTAGCTAGTGTTTCAGGCTGATGATGTGTAGATGTGCTTTCCTGGTCTCATTCGAGCGATAGCAGCAAACACAGCTTTTTATCAACTTCATTTCATAGTTGAGGAACCTCTTGAAGTTCTAACATTCCTCTGTTCCCCCCTAGAATGCTTCATTTATAGGTGTTGTAAACAAGACCACGGCCCACTCCTATTGAACAGGTAGCTCCTGATTCAATAGATTCTGAGAACGGCTCTTACATCATACCTGCAGAGAATAGCAGTGTGTCATGACAGACTTCCTTCCAAAAGAGGAGTGTGTCACTAGTGCTGAACTCAGTGGGAGTAGCTAGGCACAGCTCTGACATAGGGCCTTCATGAGGGAAACCAGTTTCTCAGGCCGTGGACTAGGTTTTCTGGTTAGCGATGTCTAGTACCAGTGGATGCTCTCTTGTAGTTGGGAAGAGCACTAATATCATTTGCTGTCATTTCCTTGGAAGCAGGTCCTTCATAGGATAATAAAATCTCATGTCTACAAAGAACAGTCTTGAAATATCTTTCATCTGGTAGGACTTATGTACTCTATGTGAATAGACTGTAGGATAAAATCTTTACTGTTTCAGTAGTTATCAATCTTAGGACTTTTCTTTCCAGTTGTGGATCTTACTGTATGTTATGTATAATATTTTTCAGAAAATATCTATCTACAGGCATAAATATGTGTGCACACATTGTCTTCAATAAGTTTTGAAGTCCATGAAATTGGATTCCAGGTTGGTAGTCACAGCCCCACCTATAGCACCCCTCTGTCTCAGTGTCCAAACAGGATCACACTGTGTGTGGAAACAAGAGTGCAGAAGGTATTAAGATCTGGACTCTTTCTCAAGGATATGAAGTGTTCAGGAGAGCTGTATTTCCACGTTGGGGTATTTTAACATGAACCTCCTAAGACATGAAGCAGGAAGGTCTGCGTGAGGAGGTCAGTGTCGCTGTGACGGTGATACCTTCAGAAGTTAGATTTCAAATTGTGCACTGACTGTTAAGTTTACTGCTTTTGCCGTGGAGAAATTTTTGCTATAGGTATGCTTGGGTTTTTCTTCATTCTAAAATTTCACTTGTCTCATTTCTGCTTTTAGCATTTGGGATGGTAACTATTGCAGATTGGAAAGGGGCACACGATTAACATAGGGAAGACAGGCTGAGCAGAGCAATTCTTTCTTTCCTATTAACAAATCCTAAGATCCTGTAAGATTCTGGAGCCCATTAAAATGCTCAGACGTACTGAAGAATTTTTTTTGGAGTAATTAATTCAAGTGTTGTGATTGAAGCTTTAAGCGTCTTTGAAATTTAAGATAAATTTTAAGCTCACTTCAGTATTCACATAAGCTAATTTCAACCCAATCCGACACGTATGAACGTTGTGCGCTAGCTTAAAACTGGAGTGTTGAGCAACTTCGGCTATCTCCGATAGCAGCAGTTTCTGAAACTCCCTAGGGTGATGTGGCAAAGAACAATTTGAGTTTCGACAAAGTAGGCCTCAGTTTGGTCCTAAGTCACTGGGTAACCGTGGGTGTTTCTGACTTTGTGTGAGTGCTTGTGGCATGAAGGTGGTGTTTTCACTAGAAGGTTTTATTACAGGAATTTATAAAGGTTTTATGATTTCCTGTGTCAAGTTCTCTTGGGCTCCTCTCATCTGCTTAACTGAAGACGCCTTAGTTTGGGATAAGACAAAAGTGTTAGTGAAGAAAACACACACTAGAGACAGGTTATCTTTTAAACCTTATGTTTAAAATCGTCTCTCCCAGTACTTCATGCCATGGCCCTAAAAATAGAGCCCTAAATTTAGAGGGCAAGCTGCTACATATAGTTCCTTTCTCCGTGAGCGCCCCGTGCTGGGCAGAAGTCCACACGGGCTTGATTTAGGTACCGAGGCGCTAATGGAGTTTAAGACTGGGGCTCCTGGCTAGTGCCCACCAGGTGACCTCAGGTGAGTGAACCTGAAGG